ATGTATAGACTACATTGTCAACCATGAGTGGAAAAGCGTTCCTAACCCACAGCATGTTATGTGCCCGAGGGTGGTAGTGTCTTGTTATGTGTCATGGAATCTATGACCTATCACATGTGATAGTCATGCCAGCTTATTAACGTGTGAGAGTATAACTCCTGGCTTCCACCTCAGAGGGGAAACTGCTTGGGGTGGGGGGTGGGGGCATTCTGCTAGCCAGATGGAGCAGAATTCTACCAGTTTCCAGTGCCAGGGAAACCCTGGACAGTAACCAACACGGAACCTGACCATGAAGAGGACTACCCAAGGGCCTGTGGCAGGGAACCGAACCTTCCTACCTTGGTCTGACCTCTTGGTAAGTTTCCTTCCTTGGTCCCAGCTTTGTTCCCACTCACTTGAGGAGACATCCACAAACAGGAGTTAATTTAAAGAGGGTAAGAGCTGGACAGCCACTGGCAGCTGCGGGAAGGATCGTAAGGAAAAGGATTCTAGCGAGTGACGTCACCCAGAGCTTCACATTTTTAATAAGTACTGATTGACGGATGGAAGTCAAAGCAAATGCCAAGGGAAGAGCTACACGTGTCCAGAGATTCTGAGTTAGAAATGCTCTCCTTCCATCTCTTTCATAAAGGAAGGCCCCTGGGGAAGTCACAAAGTAGTGATTAAGGAATGAAACAGGCCAGGGATCTCTGGGGCCTTCTAAGTTCCCAGGCCAGGCCTGCAGGGAGATAAGCTTGGCCCCAGGCACAGCTTCTTCTCTCCTGACATCTTTCTGCCAGATGGTCGCTCTCAAATTCTAGAGGTGCTTGGCCCTCCTGGTTCATGCAACCTGAGCCAGAGAACTTTGGTTCACCAAACTTCCTCTCCCTCCACCCCTCTGGCACGCAGGCGCAGGGCCTGGGCAGGGAAACGCTGGTGCCCAGAGAAGGCGCTCTGGACCTAAAGCACTGGCTCCAGGGCATGGAAAGAGCCTTCTCTCTCAGGCCAGCTGGTAGCAGGAACCCACACCTTTCACCTTTTGCTATTTACTGGGTGAATCTCCCTATTACAACCCAGAATCTCAAAAAATTACAAATGTTGTATGAAAACATAATCAGGATGTGGAGTCAATCCACTAGTAATTGTTAATTGAAAAAGAAAGAAGAAAGGGGGAAAAAATACAAATCAATCCTGCAGGGTCTACACCTGGAGCTTTCTGCTTTCTTGGGGAGCCTCCCAGCGAATATCGCCCAACCACCCGGCCTCACCGATTCCCTTTGGTGATCTCCGCGGGAGCTGGAGGATGAGGCCTATGGGACACCCTGGGAAGGAGACACCCTCTGGAGGGGTTAAGGTCCCTGCAAGCCTTCTGCCGCTCCTGTGGCCTCCGCAGGATTCCCCCAAGTACCCGCTCTCACCCACAAGTAAAAAGCGCTCAGGGACCGCCGCCGGAGAGAGGGGCCCTGCTGTCTGCCTGGAGAGCCTGTCCCAATACGGGCTCTTCCCTTTCTCTGGACACCCTGGGAGTGTGCCCCCGGATCCCAGCTTCTGGGCTTGGAGAACACCCTGCCCCTCTCCTTCCCATAGTCCTCAAAGGCCACCCCCATTCCTTCAAAGGGGGCCCCAGACTGGACCAGCTCCACACAGCCACCGGTATTTGAGCTTTCGTTCTGATAGAAGTTTGGGGAAAATACTGTGCGTAGTAATTTATAATCACGTATAGACATGTGCATATCTGGGCGACAATTGTTAGGCAGCTGGGTCTGGTGTTGAAACCGCTAGCATCCTAGGTGGTGTTGGTAAGATCAGTTGGTATTGTAAGTGCCCAGTGGACGGTGCGCAGGGAGCCCCTGATTCCTCTGCAGAAGGAACGCGGCGCAATCTCAGTGGTGATGTCCGCTTCTGTCTGCAACCCTGCGTCTCTGGCCTGAATTCAGGGGCGCTACCTCTCCCTCGTCACCAACCCCGCGGACGGCGGACCCGGGACCAGGCAACTTCCTCTGAAGGGCCATCTCCCCCAACTGGGAAGGTCGTTGGGTCTGCAGAGGAAGCAGCACCCCGGGTGTCAGAAGCCCCTGGCCCCTTACCCAGACCTTTGTCACAAAAGGCAGCTCAGTAGGTGTTAGGGACGAAAAGAAACGTTTGCAATACGACTATGTGGAGAAGGGTGGAGAAGGGGAGACTGGCGAGGGCCTGCTCCAGTTCTGGGGACGAAACCACCAGTGCCTC